GAGGGAGGGAGGGAGGGAGGGAGGAAGGAAGGAAGGAAGGAAGGAAGGAAGGAAGGAAGGAAGGAAGGAAGGAAGGAAGGAAGGAAGGAAGGAACAAATGATGTCATGGTACCCAAAAAGATATAGGCTTGACTTTGTTTTGATTTGTTTCCTAAAATAAACTAAAGATCTCTGGTGTACCTAACAATCTACTCACAACTTACTTTTTCATTACTGATGATGGGAATTTTCTTAAGCTTCTATATGTGAGAATCTTTCTATCTAGAACATTCTTCCATCCCTTTTTTCATGTGGCAAGCTCTAGTTCAACCTTCAGAACCCTGACTCATTTGGTACTGAAGTCAATTCCTTTGTGAATTCCTTCCTGGGTCCCTGTGTGTCATATTGTAATAATGCCTGTTAATATGTTATGTGTTATATGTCTATATGTTAATATGTTATATGTTATAAACAGTATGTTAATAGTCTGTTTGCATATCTTGTTCCAAAAATAATCCCAGTAGTTCAATAACAATTTGTATTTATTTTTTGTTCAACTTAACTTTCCATCAACAGATATGAAGCTGCGAATTAGCCATACTGACTGACCCCATTCTTCGTCAGGCCCACCTATGTGATGACGTCATAGTTCCCTACCTTACACACGACTGCTGAGAGTCACAGGGCATCCCTGCCTGTCTTTCTCACACCCAGCTCCAAGCTTCGGTGCTGTCGCTTCACTTCAGCTGCTGGGATTGGGCCTCAGCAGCTCCCTGACCACATTCACTGAATCCTGTACAACAAATCTGTGAGGTAAAAGCTTTATGGTCACCCGTCTTCAGCTCTTGGTCGCTCTCCACACAGCAGTCTGTCCACTGGGCACTGGAGCAACATGTCCTGTTCCTTCCTTGTGTCACAATCTCATAAAGATGCCTCTTGAACAACTCCTTCGCCTTCTGCATAGAATGGCTCCCTTTTTAGGCCTCAGTGCTGGTGTCAAGGAATCCAACATATGACAGACAGAATGAGGTTCTAGTGCGGCCCAGGCCAGTCTTGATTCCTCTGAGACCAGTTAGAATAAGAGCTACTCAAGTGTCATAATTGAACCTCAGGCAAGTGACAGATTCTTTGGGCACAGTTCTCCTTATCTATCTGTAGAACATTAACACACAGGGTTGCTATGTGGTTCAGTTTAAGCACTGGAGCGTGTATGGGACTGTTACAAAAACACAGTCCTCAGAGATCTACTGCAGCTATCTGCATTCCGTCGGCCATGTCTGCTTGCAGGAGACTATCAGGCTTGCCCATGGTGGCTGTTAACGTTCCCTCTTAAGAGGAGGGTGTGTGTGTTGGGGGGGGGCGAGGTATTAGACCCTCACTGATCATCCATCTGTCCCAGGCATTTGTTTGCAATTCTGCCCTAATTGCATGAGGCCTCAGGAGGTGCTAGGGATACTAATTGAATGGGGAGTTCCGGCTTTGTGACTATGAGGAAGTCACTACCCATGCAGGATGAAGACTTTTCACTGCGGTTGCTCTGGGGTCACCCATGCTCCTGTAAGCCATCCCTTACCTGTCTCTGTCAGTAAGACCAATAAACATGTGGACTCCTCAGGGTGACCTTTCATAGGGGTTGAACTTTTGGTTTGTCATTGGGGTCCCATTTTGAAGAATGGGAAGACATCTTTTATGTCTCCCTAGAAAAGAAACTCTCACAATAAGGACTTCCTAAATGCTCTGGAAATTCCAGTTTGAAGAGCAATATTTGATATTTGTCAAATAAATACATGTTTCAATTAAAAAGTCAGTCAAGAAAAATCAGGAACCACACTGACAGCCTGAAGTTAAAATTAAATAATTTTATATTCTATTATATAATAGTTATACTCACATGAAATTGTGTAGTTTTAATTTCACGTTGATTGTTTCAACAACATGGTAACCCTACATTGCTAAGGATTATTCTCCTGGAGGATGAATAAACTACAGGGTGAATCAGACAGATGGAGCCTGAGAAAGGCTTGAAAAAGGATTAGGAAACCAGCTGAGTGGGCAAACGGAGTTCCTAAAGCAGTCTCTGTGACTTGCTGGGTGGCACTCCACACATGGCGACGTGACAGCGTATTGCTAGGGATACACACAATCACCCAGTTATCCTTCCTCTCTCTAAGCCTGTCCTCTGGACCATCCTTCATCCTCACCTTCTAGCAATGAGGACTGGGAAGAAGGTAAGCCTCTCGCCCTCATCACTCGGTAACAGCAGAATGTTGCAGGAGCTCGTTGCTGTTATGAGCACTTTGCATTATTAAAGCATTTCATCGCATGGAAAGTCCATACAGTATGTGTTAGTGTTGTCCTCATTAGAGAATGAGACAAGTGGGGTGAAGTGTCTTTTGAAAGGTGACACAGCCAACAGAAGAGACGGGATTCAAACTTAGCCACTGTGCCATGCTACCCGTCAGAGACAGCCCACAAGTGTGTTTCTTTCCCTGGAGAAGCAGAGTCTGTCACCTCCACAGAGAGCCATGGAGCCCTCCAGTGGTACCTGGAGTGAACAAGCTGTAGGCTCGCCTTTCCCTTTCTCAGTTCTGTCTTCCTAGACTGCTTCCCCTCCCCTTTCCCTTGTTGCTTCCGTTGCCTTCTGTTCTTATCCAAGTTTGTTTAACCCATACCCATACTGCAGACCTCCCGGGGAGGCTCCGCCCTGCAATTTGGCCTCAAGTTTTCTGAAATCAAGCATGTGCCCAGCTACGCTAGCAATGGTCAGTGTGCCCACCAGCAAGTCACTTCCCATCTCCCCCTCCTCCAACCCTGTGAGATGAGCATTTTAGACTGAGTGAACACAGAGATTTGATTTTAGCTGTGTCCCTTTGTGGTGACCCAGAATATTTCCTTCACCACCACCCACACCCTAACAAAACTCAAATGAATGGTTGGTGAGTTCCAGGTCAGAAAAAATAAGAGCGCTTTAAGAAGTTATGTTAACATCACTAAGTCATGTGCCACAAGAATGGCGTTTACCTGTGTCGTCGTTATCTTCAGATTCTGACAGAGATACGTTGACAATAGTGATGTTTAAACTCCATGTATTTGAAAGGGCATTATAGACCAAGATTGTTAAAATTATAGTTATCCTGACAGGCAGCTCAGCTGATAAGGTGATTTGTATTGACTACCCGCTGTAATCACACCTGGGTGCAGTCCCTCCCTGCCCCAGAGAGCTACGTCAATCACTGTAACAAATACCAAGAACTACACAAAACTACACTGATGACTACAATGAATGTCTAAGATAATCCACTTACACAGTTTTAGAGACTAGAGCCCGTGGCAGCACACCATGGCAGGAGAGTGTGTGGTGGCAAGCCTGCTCACCGTAAGCCAGGAAGCAAAACAGAGATCTCCTTCTAGGACAATCTCCTTCTAGGACACACACCTAATGACCTGAAGCCCTCCTACTAGGCTCCACTCGGAAAGGTTCCACCAAGCTGAGCACTGAGTTTCAACACAAGCATTTGGGAGCAGTTCAGCTCCAAGCAGCAAGTGCAGCTTCAGCCTAGTCCCGGTGAGGTAATTAATTCCAAGGGGCAGAATTTGCCAGAGATGTTGGTTATAACTCCTGATCTTAGGTTACAAAAGTGTCCTGATTTCTTATTCTTTTGCTCTCTTGAGCTA